TTTTAAATAAAATGTATTATTGTTTTTATTAATGAAAGACATAACTCTTTTTTTAGGAAAGATTGAAATAAGAAAAGTATTTAGAGAGTTTTAAGGTTTGTTGTTTACATTAATATTAGTTTGAATTTATTTACTATTTTATCAAAAGGTATCAGGTGTCTATCAAGGAAATTGCAGGTGATAAAGGGTTAAAGCATTATAAATAAAAAAAATAGTTTGTGATTGATCGACTATATTAATTTATATAAATTAAGAAAAAAACATTTAAATCAGACTTTTTTAAGCTCCTCTTTCAGAGTAGCTCCTCTCCGAGCTCCACAGGGACTTTGACTGTACGGTTATTGATTCAGATGAACACTTTTGTATTCCACTTTAGACAATTTGCTTAACACCTTCGTAATTTCCCCTGAAATATCTGATTTACATGCCATAAAACTACAATAAGATAACATTAAAGGCCCTTCTTCTTGCTCTTTCTTGCTTGTTCCGAAAACACCTGTTGTGCCCCGTTTCTGCCACACAGGTAACATATATTTTGTCTGATGAAGGTCTGAGGATTAAAATAAAGTGTGTGGGATTTTTTGGTTCTTTCACAGTCCGAGTTTATGATCTGATGCTGCGAGACTGTGAGAGCTTTGTGGTGAGTGTTCACAATATTTTAGGACCAATTAGCTGGTTAAAATGGAGATAACTGCTAACAGTACTGCCGCTGTCCCCGTTGGCAACTCAGCCCACCTGGAGCTCAGGGCTGGGATCAAACGGACCCCGCGCTCCGAGCATATTCAGTCTTTTTGTAATCAGAATTGAGGTTCAATCTGTGATCGCAGCCCTCAGATTGAAGATTCTTGCTCAGTGATTCTTTCCCACAGTTTAAGTCCTCTGCGGGTCTTCCCTGGACTTTTTACATTCAGCAAGTGTCATTAAGTGCTCTGAACAACTCACACAAAGTTGTAGCCCAGGTCTAAACCAGCACAGCTATGTAGCCTGTTGACTATAGTATTACAGTGTTGTCACAATCTGTACGCAATTATTACCTGTGAGAAGTTTATGAATAGAAACATACAGTAAAATATGATTTTTTGAATGAATTCAATGTATTGTTTCCGTCCAATGTATTTCAAATAATCTCAGTCTTTAATTTTTCTATTAGATATCTTGTGTGTGATAATCTGAAACTCATCCAGTAGATTTAAGCCCATTCGGACGAGATTAACATTGCAGGTGGAGGTGAGGAATAAAATATTCACTGTGCTTCTCTGTAATTTAAGCTATCGCTCCATCGGGACATGGATGCGACCTGTAGACATGGACATTGAGCCAGAAGAGAAAGTCCAATAATCTGTTTATAAATTATAAAGAAAAAGACCCTGCAGAATTTGTCTGAGAATTATCACGTTTTTTAAGTTTTCTTGAGTATTAAAGAAATCCAGTGATAGTTGTCTGTACATCAGTGTGTGTGATGCAAACAGGAGCTAATAGCTAATATTGCACACTTTTAATGGGGCAGTTTGTCAAAGAAGAGAGGTTAGCTGACATTACAACAGCACGTCATGAGTTCTTTTAGTCTGCTATCCTGATGCTCAGTATATCATCGTATTGTTTTCTAATACACCTTTAGGTTTAGCATGTTTCCATCTATCAGATATGAAAATAGGTTTAGGAAAAGCCTCAATTTTCACAAAAAAGTTTGATTTTAGGACAAACTCAGATCCACTTTACAATACAAGGACCTCGCTTCGGACGGGATTTAGATTACAGGAGGGGCACGAGTTCACAGAACAACTGTAGGTAATTACAGCAGTAATCATCACTACGGTGGGGGGGAAATCACCTCCCCTAGAGAAACAGATCCAGTCCGAACGGTGCTAGCATCCTACGCTAACGAGGCTATTAAACAACTTCCAGTCCGGTGTAAACTTTACAGTCACTGTTTAGAGTAGTGATAATTTAATATGCCAGCACAAGAAGCATTTAGAGTAGACAAGCAGTGGGAGACGATACCGCAAATGTGCCATTGCAAAAGCTACCAACTGCCCGGGCGACAGGAGAGTGCGCGGCGCTCGACGGCGTACACGAGTTCAGCAAAAGTCTGCTCTCTTGTCTTGGTGTTAAAAGTGAGGCTCGTGTTCTCATGCTCGTGGGAAAAAACAATAGAAGATCAAATGCTGAAATTTAAAACCAACTTTTCAAGTTCCCTCGTGTGAGTTATTAATGATTACCTCAAGTATCAAACATGACTTTTTGTGATTTTATTGTGGTCTTCGTCCAGTGCTGTTTTAATGCCACCATGATGAATTATTGATACTGATTTATACATGCTCTGGAGATTTAAAGCTTTAGTTTGTATGGAAGCCCATTAGGACCAATGTGACAGAAAAAAAACGATTCTGTAATTAATTATAATGATAAAGTTTATCAAAATAATGACTTTGAGATACTTAGTCAGTATTTTGATAAAGTTTCTCATTAAAATAACTTTTAGTAGTTCACATTGGCAGAAATGGGCTTTCATACGTTCTCTTTCCTGCCGAGAATTAGACGAGAAGATCGATACCACTCTCATGTCTGTGCATAAAGTAATGGAGCTGACTCAGGAGGCAATTAACTTAGCTTAGCACACAGCGAGCCAAGTCCTGTCCAGAGTGCAGAAATACATCAACACAACATCTCTAAATCTTACAGAGTAACATGTCATATCATCGTAGTCAGGAAGCAGCTTGGTTTCCTCGTTTCAAAACAAAAATTGGCTGCAAATTACGGACTAACTAACTAACTAGGCTGGTATCAATGTTCTCGTCTAACTCTCCCCAAGAAAGTACTTCCCAAAATGTCGAGCTATTCCTTTAAAGAGAGTTTTTGTATCTGTATCGTCACCTTGTGAAGCAACGCAGAGCAGCAAACAATCGGGACACGACTATCATGAGTTTAAGGGACAGTTTGTTACCATTGTGTGTTAAATTAATACCCACTTGTATCACAGCTGGCTACTTGGGGACCAATAGGGGCCACACCAGACCCCTGAATCCCCGGAGCCTAAAGGATATTTTCATGAAATCCTGAATATTTTAAAAATTGGCACTTTTTTTGTATAATATTTGGGTTGAATTGTGAAGCCATGAAGTTTCTCCCAAAGTCCAGAATCAACCTGTCAAAGCTCCTCTTTGTTACATTTTGCGTCAGGTAAACGTAACTTTGCTACGACTCTGTTAAATACAACAATGTCCTGGTGCAGCAGAATCTGCCTTTTTCTTAGAAGCTTTCCTCTCAACCCACTCAGAGGAAACACTTTTAAAACAGGGAACTATCCCTAGATACTTCCTGGACCGGCCTCTCCAACCATTACGATCTTTACCTTTGCTGTATTGGATCTGTATGTTTTGTATTTGTGGTTTTACTGTGCCGTGATTGGTCGTTAGTCTCGATTCCTCTTTCTATTCTCGTACTATCTTTGTTTTCTTACAGAGACCTTTCTATAGGGAAACTTGAATTCTTTTGGATTTATTTTTGTATCACTCTCTTTGAGGTTCACTGAAGGAGAAACTGGCAAAGGAGATGTTGATGCCTTAATCTCTGTACTTCAACTTGGTTTTTAGACTTCTGTTTCTGTTTTTATTGTGAATAACGCAGCATTGATACCTTTGTTTTGATAAATTCTGTACTTAATCAGAAATAAAAGAAAACTTCTCTCAGCGCTGTTATACTGTGTTTTGTATTAAGTAGATTTAATAGCGAACAGGCTTCTACGAGGTGTTTTTATTTGTGTACAATCTTGTATTTAATTATTAAATTAAGCAAGAAAGTGTATTGTTAAGGTTCAAAGTTCATTCTTGTCCTTGGAAAAAGACAAACAAACCTCACCTAAAGGTCCATTTGGTAGCAGTTCTGGAGCTTTCGAACATATCACATCAACTCCAACCAGATCATAACTGTTGCTCTGCTACTGATGGTGCATTCACATGCTCCTCTGATGGTCACATTTCCCAAGTTACGAAATCGTTCTTCCAACTTTGGTGTGTTCATGAGCTTTAAGTTGTAAGAGGGAAACATGAACACTACAAAGGAGATGTGTTGTATTTTATTGCATTTAAACGACATGTTTAAAGCTGTTTCCACTATTTTTTGTGACAACAAAGAGCAATGTTACCACCTTTAATGCTGTAGTGTGGTGTTTTTCCAATGAATTAACTCAACGTTAATGCAGAGTAACTCTTGTGTTATTCCACAGCCACTCCCTTCTTTCCTGCAGTGACTTGTTTCCCGCCGTTTCCACAACCCGCTCTTCTTACTCAGCTGCTTCCCATTTCCCCAAATCAGCCCAGGATCATATATACTGTACCAAATTTGCAAGTATTTAAAAAAACACAAATACAAGCTTAAAGTATTTTGTTACAAATGACATCATTATTTTATTCTGACCAGCAAAATACAAATGACAAAAATACATCGAAATACTGCCCAAAGTTTATGTTCTTGAATGAGAGGACACACAGAAAGTAAAGTTTCAGGTTGTTTTATTTACACAAATGATCATTTAATTAAGATTTTGTTACCAAATGTGGTCGTTAAAGAAAAGATTAAAAGGTACAAACGAAGACAAACGTTTTTTGGAGGAAGTGTGTTTATTGGGAGGTTTTCTATGGAAGTTGCAGTTATACATAATTTCAAAGATTCACTGGGATGTGGACAATAAAGGGTTACATCTGAACAGGCTGAACTGAAGAAGCTTTGTCGCATTAACTTAGCTGCCCGCAGTCGGCGATAACAACCTTGGTTTTAGGTTTTCCGTCTCTGTTACCTTGTTTCTCTATGTTGACAACAACATCCATTCCCTCCACGACATTGCCGAACACCACGTGCTTCCCGTCCAACCTGGAGAGGAGAGGAGCCGGTTAGTGTGTGAGACAAACGTCGATTAAACCTGAATGCAGGGTCAGAGTGGAGCTCACCACTCAGTTTTAACTGTGCAGAGAAAGAACTGGGATCCGTTGGTGTTGCGCCCAGCGTTAGCCATGGACAGCGTGCCAGGACTTGTGTGCTTCAGCTGGAAGTTCTCATCAGCAAACTTCTCCCCGTAGATGGATTTACCTCCAGTTCCGTTGTGTCTGGTAAAGTCTCCGCCCTGAATGAAACAAAAGGCTAAGTTAAGTCGATATGCGTGGCAACGCAAATCAAACATCTGGAGGTTGAATCTGAACTAAAGAGGAAGGTAAAGGTACCTGGCACATGAACTCTGGGATGATGCGGTGAAACGAGGAGCCCTTGTAGCCAAAACCTTTCTCTCCGGTGCACAAAGCACGGAAATTCTCTGAAAAATAAAGACTTCATTAAATATACTTATCTGTATCCAGATACATGCCTGTATCTGCAGAGACTCCGCCCTCTTTCTGTAGTTTCTTATTTTGCTTATTTTACATTTCTGGCGGTCAACCTTTGTAGCCTCCAGCCAATAACAGCACACAGACTGTGAGAGCGGGAAAACCAGTGACCAGGTGTCAGGTGTTTGTAAAGAGCACTACAGTCGGGGCTGTGTAGTGTGTATTGAGAGGGAAGCCCTATTAACTGTGTACCCTTCTTATTAACAGTTATAACTTCATAACACAACAATTAACGACTAATGGGAAGACACCACGGCACACAACAAGAATTCGTTTCTTGTGCAGTAGAACATTTGAGAAATATCTGAGTTCATAGTGTTTATTCAACTAGCAAACAAGCTCTGATTTTACTACGTTGCAGTCAGTAAAAAAATGTCTGATTCCTTCATATATTGAATCATTTTGTGGGGCCAGTAAAACGCTATAGTAATAATCTTCTACATGCTCCTGACAGTAGAATCAGATACAACAAGCCTTTATAAAGACCCAGTCATACAAAAAATAAACTACTGTGATATACAGAGAAACCTCCATAATCTTAAAGGACCAGTGTTTAGGATTTAGTGACATCTAGTAGTGAAGTTGCAGATTGCAACTAACTGAACACTGCTGGAGTCTGTATTAGTCAACCTGGGACAAATACGTGCTGTGAAGTCTGCACAAGAAACTACGGTGGCTGCAAAACCTGTTTTTTTAGTATCTGGGCACATACCTATGAATATTTTATTCTATTTCTGACACTAGTTCCGGCACTAGTTCATATAACTAATAATAACTATGTAGGGCGAAATCCCAGTCCGTCAGTGATGCATCAGGCAGGTTTTTTTCTTGTTGTTTTCTTGTCAGTTAACAACATATCTATTAAAAAGTACTTAATCCAGAATGTTTGAGTTTGTGTTACTTAAAATTTTCGATGTAATCCGTTTCAACAATTCACATCACAGTGCACCGGGTGGAAATAACCACTACAGCACATTTAAAGCAAACAACAGTTCTTTTCCTTCTTCTCCTATGTACAGTATAATTAATCATAGCAGCAATAGCACTCTTTGTTTCTCTGTTTGCTTTGCACTTTGCACTTTGGCTCTGCAACTGGTTATTCAGGTTACTCCCTTGTCTCACACACAGCCTTGCGCTGTCAATGTTTAGGTGAGGATTTCCTCAACCAACCATAAATCCATTTTGGTGTGTGTGCAAAAAGTCTGAGCAGCAGCAGCAGCCGCGTAGTTAATGCTGTGAACGCTTACATACCTGCAGTCTTTGGGACCACATCAGCCCGGAGCTGCAAGACACAGACAGAAAATCATCCAGATGGATGTAAAGACATGCTTGTCGCCATTTTTAAAGCTTTAAAAAAGTTCCATAGTTAATAAACTGAAAAGTGAATAGTTCGGTGTTTATCTTACCTCCATTATAATCCTGCCGGCGTTAGCTCCATTTATAGTGATGTCAAAGAAAACTTTGGGGTTTCCCATGTTGATAACTGCGCCTGTTATTTGATTATGATGGAAAAACGCACTTGAATGAATCCTGATGGCGCGTCAGACGCACTGCGTCTATTTATATGAACCAATGCAGCGGTGACGTACAGGCTGCAGACAGCCAATCACAGCCGCGCTCTTCTGAGAGGGGCAAACGACTCGACCAATAGGAGCGGGGGCAGGGGGCGGGGTCACATGTGGTGATAATGGGTGAGGTTCACTTCCAGTAGGGAGAATGTGAGGTTGTGTGGGAGTAAACTTCCGACCTTAAAGATAATGAATTAATATCACAAAGTCAATATTCTGAGTCATTTTATTCAGATATTAAGTCTTTATTTTGTGATACTTTCTCAGAATAAAGACTTGGTTTCTCAATATTTTGAAATACTAAGTCACACTATGACTAAGTTTCTCATTATATTAAGATATTAAGTAATTTCTTTGACACTATGGATAAAGTTTCTCATTATTTTGGGTAAATAAGTCACATAATTTTGGTCACATTGGTGAAAATGAGCTTCCATAGATATCTGATGTGTCCTAATGTGAAAAGAAACATGCTTAAAAAAGGTCAAAAGCTTCAAAATAAAAGTAGTTCTGATGCAAATCCCACCTGAGTACTTTAAAGTTTTAATATCACAAAGTTAAAATGTAAGTCCTGCATTCAAAACCGATTTAAGAAATGATGTATCAGCAGTAAAAGTACACATAGTGCAGTAAAATGTCTCCTGTGACTGAAATCTGATGGATTCACTTGTTACAGCAGCTCAGGAAACACAATAAATAAGAAAATATACACATTAAATACAAATAGAATAGAAATATATAAGAATAAGAGTTATAAAAACACTATTCTGTGTACTTAAATAATAATACTTAAAATTTAAGTCTAAAGTTTAGGTGTCAGAAGGAAAACGCTACTGAGCATGTGCAGAATGTGTCATCACTCCAGCTTGTTTCTGATTGGAGGAGCTGAGTGTGTTACAACTTACCCCACAACAACAACAACAACAACAACAACATTTTCGTCAAATAAAGTGATTTTTAATTCTGGTTCTGAGATTCAGCAAAGGAACAAGGTAACTGTAGGTACAATGACGATTATGATTAAAAAATAAATAGAAAATAATGGCAATTACAATGTGTTACAAAATATGTGGAATAGTTTACATATTAAAAAACTGTTGTTTTTTTCTCCTAGCAAATTTGCAGTTAAATAGTCCATAATTTTCCAAATATAACATTACTGCGTTGCTCAATCGGAAAAGAACTTTATTTCTTGTCGCCTTTCGTTGGACCACGAACGGTACAGTCGCAAAATCATTCATAGAAAAAAAACGTCAGCTTTAAAAAGTTCCTTTAAACTGCCTCGACGTCAGCGGACTGCCTGTTTCCCGTCATACATGCATCAGTACGACCTCATTTTTACAATTGCTTTATAGTTTTTCTAACATACAGTATGTATACAGTGCCAACGATGATCCATTATCCAACTAATAACATTAAAATTACCATGATTAACAATTCATTTGATACACACACGTTCTCTAATGAAAACAGCTGATTATACAGTACATAAACCCGCGTCATGATGGGTTATACATGTCAAAAAACGACTGAAAATAAAACATACTAATAGCTTTCAAATGGCAGAAAAATGCCATGACACACAGCTGTACTCATTTACAGTATGTTTGAAAACCCCCCCCGGAAAGAGGGTAAAAGAAACCAACAGAGGGAAAGATGGGAGTTGGAATATATTTCACAGTGCTGAAGGATGTCGGAGATACAATGAACCTCAGCGCTCTTCCAACAAAAAATGTCTTCTGTACATCTTTATTTTTTACTTTTTTCATTTGTTTAAAACGTGAGGTTTGGATTTGACTTCGTCGTCTGATCAGCAAAGAGAAACAAACGTGTGACCACTTTTATCTGCCCTTATCTTACATCATTGTGTATAAAAGGAGCAGTCCGGTGACATTATATATTTCTCTTATTGTCAACAAACGTCATGAAAGGGAACGCAGACACTGAGGCCCGATACATGTTCCTCCTCTGTGCCACAGACGTATTATTATTGGAGGATGTTAGCGTCTAAAAAAAAAGACACTTTTATGATTTTTAAAGCGTAAATGCGATCACCAGAATAAAAAGCTAACGTTAATAGCTAGCTAACGACTTTAAACGCACCTCACCGCGGTCACATGACTTCAACGTCACCACCACTAAACTTTTAAGTGTTCGGAAATGTACTTTATTTCATGAGTGGACAGAGTTTTTCGTGTTTGAGAAGTGAAGCCAACCGAAGTTTCTTAAACCTGCAGTCTCTGTAACGGC